AAATGGGACTAATAATAAAGTAGTTAAAAAAATATTGTGCGATTACTATGTGTGAGAGCATGACTATGTGTTTTGCAGATACGACATCATTTAATTCTCAAGAAAATCTTATGAGAGAAGTAATATTAGTATCCCCCTTTTTTCAGATGAGCAAACTGAAGCAAAAGGAAGTCGTGTAACTTAAAAGCTAGGAAGAGGCAGAACCAGAGCACTGGAATTCCTCTGACATAAATGTTTATATTCACACCCCTTGCTGTGTTATTGACTATTCTGTAGACTTTTTACAATGATAGGTAACAATGCATATATATTTTAAAAAGAAACTTACTGCCTTGAGTTGATTTAACTCATAGCAACCCCTCCTTGGGTTTCCGAGGTGGTATCACTACGGAAGTAGATTGCCCAGTCTTCCTTCCAAGCAGTGGCTGGTGGGTTTGAACTGCCAACCTTCTGGTTAGCAGTCAAATGCCTTAGGCACTACACCACCAGAGCACCTAAAAAAGTGTCCATCCCAAAATATAACCCCAATAAATTTTAGCCAATTCTGTTAATTAATATACAGTAGATAAACAACAACAGTGTTTAGTCTTATTAATGACATGCACATGATTATGTTTCATATATAATTGTGCATTTGAATTGTGTTTGTGAAGAGTATTGAAAATACCATGGGCTGCCAGAGGAATGAACACATCTGTCTTTGCAAGAAATGAAGCTGGAATACTACTTACAAGTGAGAATGGCCAGACTTCATCTCTCATGCTTTGGTCATAATATCAGAAGGGACCAGTCCCTAGAGGACATCATGGTTGGTAAAGTGGAGGGTCAGCGAAAAAGGGGAAGACACTCAATGAGATGGATTGACACAGTGGGTTCAATGATGGGCTCAGGCATGGCAATGATTGTGAAGAAGGTGCAGAACCAGGCAGTGTTTCATTGTCGTACATAAAGTTGCTGTGAGTTGTTACCGACTTGACAGCAGATAAAAACATGATTGTGTTTTGTCTTTAGTTTTCAAGGTGAAATGTTGGTTAAGCATTCCTTACAAATCGATTCACCAATATTTATTGAGCACTTACGATGTGACGCATTTTGCTCATCACTTTGGACTGGCAGAATGCAAAATAGGTAACATCTCTGCCTATGCAAATTTACAAAGGCTGCTGGAATGGACTAAAGACCATGGAGGAAAACTATAACCATCTCCTAATGATATCTGTCATTAAATTGGGACCAAAAGTGTCACCTATATAGACTATCTGTTGAGCAAGAATGGCAGTGGAACCATAAACATAATTAATGTCCCTGAATTGTACATGTAAAAAACTGTTGAGAAGGCAAATGTTTACATATATATGTGTGTGTGTATATATATTTTATATATAGTAGTATAGTCAGTAGTCACTGCCGTGGAGTAGGACCTGACTCATAGTGATGCCTCCTTGGGTTTCCGAAGCGGTGTCACTATGGAAGTAGATTGCCCAGTCTTCTTCCAAGGAGTGGCTGGTGGGTTTGAACCTCCAGCCTTCTGGTTAGCAGTCAAATGCCTTAGGCACTATGCCACCAGAGCTCCCATGTATTTTATATGCATATAAAACACACATACATATATGTGTGTGTGTGTATGTATGTATTAATTAAACCTCAATTAAAAAAAATGGCAGTGGATCTTAGCAAGTACAAACCAACAAGAAGAATCTGCTGGTATTATTCATTACTCAGAGCCTTTTTATTTTATCTTATTCTAAAGTTAAAAGAATCTTTTTGCAAGATTTACAAATACCCACATGCCATTTCCATTTTCATTCAACCAGCATATAAGTAAGCTTTCTCAAGAGTTTTGCTTTTCTAAATTTAATTCTGGTCTTTTTAGACCAAAGTCCTTATGTCTATACAAAACAATCCTATTTTGAAGCCTATCTTTATGTCTAAGATCCTAGCCTATGATTTAAAATCAACCCCCTCCCCCCAAAAAAAGCCAACTCTGTAAGTCCCCATTACTATAGGAAATCACTAATCATGTTTTTTTTTTTTTTTTTTCCATTTCTTCAAGAGCTTCTATTCCATGTCAGATATATTGCAAAAGCTGAATCTGTACTCTGGCAAGATAACTATCATGGTGCTTATCACTTCTCATTCCCCTGATTATTCCCATCACCAATAACACTGTCCACAAGGGACTCTATTATATGAAGGTCTATTACCAAGAGATCAAGTATATGTAACAGCTATTTATTTGCAAATACAGAATGTGACACATGGTACAGCAAATGGTTACTGTTTTTGAGCCAGTATCTTCTCATTTATGTTACATTATCCACCACCCTTTTTCCCTTTTTCAATTCTGTGTGCATGATAAATAGACTTATTTTTTTCCACTAAACTCCACTGGAATAGAATGACTGGGATGTCAACAAGTGTCTCAGATACCCAAGACATTTAAAAAAAAAAAACAAAAAAACTCATTGACGTCGAGTCGATTCTAACTCATAGCAACCCCTCCTTGGGTTTCCAAGGTGGTACCTCTACGGAAGTAGATTGCCCAGTATTCCTCCCAAGGAGTGGCTGGTGGGTTTGAACCACTAGCCTTTTGGTTAGCACTCAAATGCCTTAGGCACTACAACACCAGAGCTCCCACCACACAGAAAACAGCTCAAGCTTTTCAGTGATAATCATACTAATAGCAGCAAAATAAGCATGTATAAAGTTCTTACTGTGTGCCAGGTACTACAGTGGTAACTTCACAAACATTATCTCATTTATTATTCATAGTAACTCTAGGACATAAGTAGATGTTATTATCTTTATTTGGTAGATGAGAAAGATGATGGTGCCAAGTTTAACTTACTTACCTAAAGCCACAAAGCTACTAGGTGGCATAGTTGTGATTTAACCCAGGTCTGCCTCATTCCATCCTCCTACTTTACACTGCAAATGAGGAAAAGAGGAAGGAGGGATGAAAGGCAGAGGGAAGAGTAATAGACATAACAGAGATGACAATGGAGTGCAGCATCCTAAATCATTTTTGATTGATTATATGAGCATCCAGTGAGCATCCAGGCACAGTATGTGGCCATAAGACAAGTTCTTTTCCGAGAGAGGCACGTTGGGCCTAGAGAAGGAGAATTTCCAGCTAACAATTGCAGAACTCCACCACAAGGGCTCCACCCTAAGAGCAAAGGTGGAAGGGATGGCTTCCCAGATGAGGGGACTTAGTGCAAAAATCTAACAGGATCTGAGAGTTCTCTAGGCAGCTAAGAGTGGAAAGGTTGTACCAGGCAGAGCTAAAAGCAGAGGCAGCATCACAGACATGAAAGACAGAGCAATGCTCAGGGAATCCTGAATGCCTCAGCAGGCTGCAAAGGAAGGTACAAGGTGAAGATCATGGGAGATAAGAACACAAGAGCTGGTTGACTTGACAGAATTAAGATCTGGCATTAGAAAAAGGGGGAAAAAGGGAAGAGGTATCATAGGTGAGGAAATGGGGGACTGAAGTGGACCACACAAAGCTGCCAGTGCCAATAACAACTCCATGTATGTATCATAACATATGAAGTTATCATCTCCCATTAAATCTTGCAAATTGTTTTGTCAGGCGCCAATGTAAATATAACTACAGATTATAAAGGGAACCTGGTGGCACAGTTGTTAAAGCACTCCTCCCCCAACCTAAAGATCAGCAGTTTGAACCTACCAGGTGTTCCATAGATGAAAAGATGTGGCAGTCTGCTTCTGTAAAGATTTACAGCCTTGGAAACCCTATAGGGCAGTTGTAGTCTTTCCTATAGGGTCTCTACAAGTCAGAATGGACTCAGTGGCAATAAGTTATGGATTCTAAGGAGTCCCTGGGTGGTGCAAACATTAATGCACTCAGCTGCTACACAGAAGGTTGGAGGTTAAGTCTACATAGAGACACCTTGAAAGAGAAGTCTGGCCATCTACTCCCAAGAAATCTGCCATGGAAAATCCTATGGTGCACAGGTCTATTCTGAAAAATGTGGAATTTACATGAGTCAGAGTCAACTCAATGGCAACTTTTTCTTCTTTTAGTGGATTATAACGATGGGCAACTGAGGAAGTAAGTTTTGATGGAAAGTGAAAGACACAAAAGAGTAACTACAACGTCTGCCTTTAACCTATCAGATCTGGACTGTGACTGTAATCTCTCCTCATAGATAAGAAATGGGATTATAAGACACAGAAAGGACTCTCTGTATCCTAGATTTGTCAAGAAACTCTTGTGAAGAATATACCTCTATTATAGCACTTATACTATGGTAACAGCATAAACTTAATAAGCTCTTTGATATCATGTAAAATAAATTTTGTACTGTAATAAAAGTCAAAAACATTGCTTGTGACAGCTTGCTTATGATTAGACTTCATGCAGGTGTCATTTAAACTCTAGTTCCTTTGACAAAGCACTTTTTTTCCCTTCTGACTTGCCATCTCCCACTTCTCTACATTATCACCCTCAGTGCATACACTTTGAAAAGAAGTCATGGGGTGGAGACAAGTCTGGCAATGCATGCTTCCAGACAACTTTCTTAGAGTGTAGAAGTAGCCCATGGCACCTATGAAAGTCAGTGTAGGGAGTCTAGACTTTGATGTCACATAGACATGGGTTCAAGTCCCAGCTCTGTATCTCAATAACCCTAAGACATAATGCATGTATAATACTTAGCACACACACCTGGACTCAATAAATACAAGTTTTTGTTACTTTAAAATTAATTTAAAACATAAAAGAAAAAAGTTAGGACCCAAGTCTGAAAAAAACTCCTCACTCAAGGACATAAATTCCATCTTCCAGTCGAATGTAAATCCTTCTTCTCATGAGTATCTGGAACTATTTCCTTGCCTAAAACTGCTACTTATGTAAGACATTGACATTTTATATGCTGATTTCTTAGGCTTTTCTCCTTCCATAGAATTCTTTGTAAAGCAGCCTAAAAGGTAAGAGGCTGATAAGTAGACAACTGTAGATTTTTGGTTCTTACCATTTTTATCTGCTCTCCTCAGTATCTGGAATGGAAAAGAGAAAAAAATTGTATCACCATTTTTTAAAAAATATTGCAGTGAATTTTATACTCACATATAATTCAACTTCTATTGAGCATAACTGTTTCTAACTTTTTCCTTCTCTCTTTCTCTCTTTTATATTTTTAAAACTCTTTCTAATTTTAAATAAAGGTTTCCCAATCTTTATCTCTAATGACCCAAAACCAAAAACAACCCAAATGTCCATCAATAGGTAAAAGGATAAACAAACTATATCAATACAGTGAATACTACTGAGCAATAAAAAAGGGAATAAATTATTGATACATCCAACAACATGGATTGGTCTCAAAATAATTATGCTGAGTAAAAAGCCTAGACAAAAAGAGTTTCTACTGTATTATTCCATTTTTATAAAATTCTCAAATGTATACACTATACTGTAGTGCAAACTATACTAAGGGTGGCCTAGGAACGGGTAAGGAGCTCTGGTGGTATAGTGGTTAAGGTATTTGGTTGCTAACTCGAAGATTCAAACACACCAGCTGCTCTGCAGAAAAAAGATGAAGCAATCTGCTTTTATAAAGATTTACAGCCTTGGAAACCCAACAGGGGTTGCTATGAGTTGAAATCGACTCGATGGCATAGAGTTTGGTTTTGGTTTTGAGGAATGGGTAGGGCCGGAAGGGATGGATTTTAAGAGGATAAGAAGAAATGTTTGGAGGTGGTACATCTATTTATTGTCTTAATTGTAGTAATGGTTTCATAGGTTATGCATATGTCAAAGCTCTTCAAATTTGTATACCTTAAGTATGTGCAGTTTAGTATAAGTCAATTATACCTCAATACAGCTGGGGGAAAAACAGAAATTAAGAGTTATTATATAGAAACTTGCATTTAAACTATATATTCCTTTACTTGTATGAGTTAATTATATTATCTTGAACCTGTGATATATCTTTAGTAAACATCAATTCTAGCCATACAGCATCCACTACTCTTTGGGGATGATTTTCAACTTCTGGAAAACCAATCTTTCCTCCAATCTCAGTCCATCGGCAACAGGGTTGGGCAGAGGACTCAGGCCTGGTAAACAGAGGGTCACATCCCTCATTCCACTGTGACTATTCAGGCAGGAGCCTATTGGGGTCAGTGAATGAGAGGCCACAGTTTTTTTTTGAGTTACTGGAAGACACTTTACTTTTGGTTGATCTTGAACCCGGGAAGTTCATAGGCAAGGAATTGTTCAGTCATTTTGTTGACATATATAACCTGGAAGTAACCAACACTCAGAAAAGCCAAGTACTGAGGCTGACAGACTAGACCCTGATAATGCTCTCTGAGCCTCTGATCAAGTCATTCTGACTGGCTGATCTCAGATGGTTCGTTATAGGATCTAATAAATTATCATTTTTAAATCTTAAAACAGTTATTTTTTTCTGTGACCTGAAATTAAATTAGCCCTAACTGACATTGTATACTTACAGAAGAAAATCCAGATAATACAGTGCACAGCTGTGCTGTATAAAAGCATCCCTGGGAGCACAATGGTTAAGCACGTCACAACCAATGTCATTTGAGAACACAAATCTATTGGTTGTGAACTGAAAGGCTGGCGATTCAAACCCACTTGGCAGTTCAAGCCTACCAGCCACTCCATGGGAGAGAAGACCTAGTGATCTGTCCCTGTAAAGGCTGCAGCCTGAGAAACCCTGCGGGGGCTGGTCCGCTTCATCACAGAGGGTCAGGATGAGTCGAAATCCACTTGACAGCACACAACAACACTTTATACATAGCACTGTCCCCCAGAAAGCTCTCGCATATTGCAAAGACACACTTGAATAATTTAGAAGGGGTACTTGAGAACCACATGTTTTCTAGAAAACTTGAAGATTACAGTTAAATAACCAGAGCTACTCTTCTATTGGGAGCTCTGGTAGCATAATGGCTAAAGCACTTGGCTGCTAACCAGAAGGCTGGTGGTTCAAACCCACCAGCCACTCCTCGGAAGGAAGGTTGGGCAATCCTACTTCCGTAGTGATACTGCCTCGGAAACCCAAGGAGGGGTCGCTATGAGTCGGGGCCGACTCGACGGCACATAACAACAACAACAACAACTCTTCTATTTAGATCATCACTTGAAGCATGAACAATCATTCTTATTCCCACTGTTGTCTGTTGTACTGTCTGCTACTGTAAGAATCATTATCTTCTATTCCTTCTGTTGACTTTAGGGAGAGGTTGTTGTTGTTGTTATGTGCCATCGAGTTGGACCCGACTCATAGTGACCCCTCCTTGGGTTTCCGAGGCAGTATCACTATGGAAGTAGATTGCCCAACCTTCCTCCAAAGGAGTGGCTAGTGGGTTTGACCCACTAGTCTTCTGGTTAGTAGTCAAGTGCCTTAGGCACTATGCTACCAGAGAGGAGGTATAGAGAAATCTAGTCCTTACTATGGTATACTTTACTATCAAATACTAATATTATTACTTAAGTAAACCCACACAAGGAACTTCTCCAGCAACAGATATGCATCACCCTGAACTCTGTTTTTAAGAAGCATGTCCCTCACCCCGTTTTTTGACTGAATGTAATTCTTGCTGGAAGATAGCTTTCAGTAATAGTGTTTATAGTTATATTTGAGTGAAACACAAATTCTTTTTACTCCACAGAGTCAATTTCTAATGGTGACTTTGGGGATCCATCTTACCATCACCATCTTACCATCATGCTTTCTCTCCTCTTCTGTACCTTAGAGAAACACAAAAAGCAGCCTATTTCTTACCTCTGATATACTCTAAGATTTAATTTCATGATCCATTGTGTTCTCACCAGTCTGAAGTGACTAGAATTGCTTCTGAAGAGGAATAACCACACCCCAAAGATCTGGACCCTAGGATTTCTATCATTTCAGCTTATAAATAGCAATCATAAATAGCATTCAGCCTCTTGCAGATGAAATTTAGACAGTAGCTTTTGATATTAAGATAGTTCTTTGTAATTAAATGTGAACAAAATTGTCTTTGCTGCAAATTTTGCCCCTGAGCCCAAGACTAATAAAAATATACTGCAGGGAAGAACTGTGTTTACTATGTTAGGTAACTCCAGCAATCCGGGTCAGTTAGTCTCACTGATTATAACACTAGATGGATAGTAAATAAAGTATTATGATCAGACTAAAGTTTACATGCAGATGTTACTATGCTTTCAATATAATTTAGGGATTATCAAATCAAATATTTTTTTATCTTAGATATAATTTGATACCTTTTCCTCAGATTCCTCATTACTCAATTATTGAAGGAGGTATGAAAATACATGTAATTTTATAGGCATAAATAATAAGCACAATAACAGTCATTCACTGAACTGCTGGTTGTTAAATGCCTACCCTATGCCAGGTTAAATGTAGATGAAATGAGTTAGTCAGTCACTTAATGAACCCCTGAGATATGTGGATTTACACCAGGGATTCTGGACCCACCCATAACATGGAGGACCAGCAAGAAGAGAAGACCTAGTTGGTGAGTCATGATGTGGGGGCCTGGACATGCAGAAGGTCATTTTTGCTATGAGGCCACTAGTCACCCTGAGATAGAAAGTATGGAAGTGGGCACTGAAACAAGGATGGAGAAAAAGGAATTAGCACATATATTTCACTTTCTCTATTTTGCCTAGGGTAAGCCCTGTGCATGAAAGCAATGTTTAATGTGTAACAACAGTGAAACTACATTCCGTTGCTATTGAGTTAATTCTGACCTATAGTGGCTAAGGCACTTGACTGCTAACCAGAAGGCTGGCGGTTCAAACCCACCAGCTACTCCTCGGAAGAAAGATGGGGCAATCTACTTCCATAGTGATACTGCCTCGGAAACCCAAGAAGGGGTCGTTATGAGTTGGGTCCGACTCGACGGCATATGACAACAACAACATAGGGATCCTATAAGAAGGGCAGAGGTGAACTTCCAAGGCTGTACTATTCACAGGAGCAGATTGCTCCATCTTTCTCCTGTGAAGTGGCTGGTGCTTTCAAACCACAGATTTTTGGTTAGCACCCGAGTGCTTTCTGTTGCTTTCTAAAACTAGTTGAGTGTCACTTGCTTTGTCAACTAGAGTAAACAATGATGGAGTCAACTGCCACTCTCCAAATAGACTTTGTTGCTGTTAGCTGTTGAGGTTGCCCCTTAGTCATGGTGACTCCATGCACAATGGAGTGAAGCACTGCCTACTCCTGCATCATCCCCACAATCAGTTGAAGATCAAGCCATTATGATCTATAGGGCATTCATTGGCTGGTTTTCAGAAGTAGATCACCAGGCCTTTCTTCCTGGTCCATCTTGGTCTACGAACTCCACAGAAGTCTATTCAGCATCATAGCAACATGCAAGCTTTCACTGACAGACAAGTGCAGTTGCACCAGAGGAGGTCCATTGGCTAGGGATCAAACCCAGGTCTCCCACAACTGAAAATAATCACCCGCACATGTGTTGCTAGGCAAATAGGAAGTGTGTGGTTGCAACAGAATTCAGTCACAAACTTATCATAAACGGAAGCTGTTTCTGCTCTTATAGTCCTCTATTCATCTCACCTCTCACACAGGGTTTAAGACTTAAGTGTTTTTGTGAGGAAATGAATACATATTCCCACAAAGTCCCTGATCCAGGCACTGAGCCATGGCTCAGGTGGCAGAAGGACAAACAGTAAAGTCATCAGTAAAGTCAACAGTAAAGTCATCTCTCTTCTTTCATCCTTCAGTGCCCCTTCCATCTCATCAGTGAAGTAGAGAAAGGCCACTCCTTTCCCCCTACCCAATTAAAATTCAAAGGAAAACTCCTGGGGAGGAGAGTAACATCCAGTGAGTAGGGTTGTAACAAATGTCATTTGGGATTTATCTTCCTTTTGGGGATGAATGAAAGTTTATTTTTTTCTCTTTGCACAGTAGCAGTATTGATTAATATAATGGTTCAAAAGAGAGTCCACAAGATACATGAGTTAGTACTGAATATTAGAGTTTATTCTCTGATCTAGAATGCAACAACCTGGGAAAAGATAGTGTACTGGTGTAAAATGGAACATGATTGACAGCCTCCTGGTTCTTTAGGGGAGCTGCACGCTGGACCCAGTCCAGCCCCTCTCCCTCTCCCTTGGATGGTAGATGCCCTCTGTAGAAACACACAGCACCAGCCACAGTGTGCTGGCTTAGGTTGGTACCAGTGTTAGGTTTTCAAAACTCTGCTAGAAGTTCAAGAATATGATAAACTAATACTTAATTCTGCCATAATTTTAGAAAGAAAATCATGTGAACTACACTCATAAAGAAATAGTTCTTATAGTTTGTAGATTTAGTGACTTATTTATGCCTTCATCACGGAACATTGATGTAACACTAATATTCCAAATTTACATAGCGCCTTTCCTTTCTTTTTGTTTTCTATCCTATGGTCTCTCATTTAAAACTCACAACAACCTTGGTAAGTACCATACACATTATTTTTTTCTGATCTAGAGTTAGAAAAATGAAGAAAATGACCAAGAATTGTTAGAATTCTCTTTCTGGTTTTCTTGTTAGATTTTTATCTCTTGCTTCTGACCAGTTAAGCACATCATTGTGTCATGCACTATTCTCTAAGCAGTTTAAATAATTTCTTAGGGGCTTGATTATTTCAATGGCGCTAGAATGCAAACATTTGAAACAAAAGTTTTGCTTAAATTTGGAAATCACTCTGTGTGATGCAGAAACCTGCCATCGATTTCATTTCTGTTCCAGTTTGAAAGACCATCATATTTATTATAATCTGCCTAGAATTAAAAAAAAAAAAAAAACCTGTCCTTCTTAACAGTGCTGTTGTTGTTATTATGTGCCGTTGAGTTGGCCCTGACTCATAGCGACCCCTCCTTGGGTTTCCGAGGCAGTATCACTACAGAAGCAGATTGTCCCATCTTCCTTCCGAGGAGTGGCTGGTGGGTTTGAACTGCCAGCCTTCTGGTTAGCAGTCAAGTGCCTTAGGTACTATGCTACCAGAGCTCCCAACAGTGCTAGTAGAGTATATTAAAACTAATCAAATAAAATGATGAAGTTTTATTTCACATTTATTTTGCTAAAAGGAGTGGGACCAGAAATGAATAATTCAAAAATCCTTAAGTTACAAATCCTTTCTCATGTCACATATTTCACCAGAGTGTCAGATTGTTCACAAAATATCTCAAGGAACGTGTAAATATCATCTCCTCTATTTGAGATGAAATCCAATAGCCGTTATTTTTCAGGGACTGTAGCATTTTCCTGCTAAACAAGCATGTCAATGCCTCTCTTGTGAAATCGGTTTTATATTTTTATTTTTAAACGTCTAGAACTAATAGTTGGAAGAAGGCAGGTGTACGCTACTCATAGACTCCAGGAATGTGATACTATTTACTTGGAGAACTTGGAAACAATCATGCATCTTTAATAACAGAGAGAATTTAAATTTCCTTTCTTTCTGTTTTTTAAAGCAGTATTTCGAACACTTGAGCCAAGTTTGGTGTGAGTGTTTGGAAGGATGACTTTCCACTTACATAGCTTCAATCCATTCCTCCTCATTCTACAACCAGGACTTGTTAACTGCTTTTAAAAAAACAAGTCACAGAGTGACTGATCAAACAATATCCTTGGAGGGATAGAATGAAGATTAGGTCAGAATTAATGGAGACTCCAAGTACCCTCTACAAACCAACTTAATCTAATTTTAGCCATCAGCTGCCTAACTAACATGATTTTCTGGAGCCCTGAGTTTGTCCTATCCCTCAAGATTTCCTTCACAGCTGTTCTAAGGTGTCTTCTTCCCTTCTCTCAGCTCAGTTCCTCAGGCTTTAAGGCCCTGAACGGAAGAACTTGAAGGAATATTATCAGCCAGTTAAACCATTAGCACCAATGACATCATCTGGTTGATCCAAACCAGCAGCATTGAGGCTTTGAAAGAATACCTGCTTAAACAGTCTTACTGAATGAATGAATGGGAATCAGATACATACTTTGGTGGGAAGAAGATGGTTAGCAGGGAATTCCTGGATCCCAGATTGAAACAGCATGGAATGGGGGGAAGGGGAAAGACTGCCAGCAGACATTCATAAACACTGTCTATACCATTCTCTGTAGACTAGCTTAAATTTTTGATAGGAGTTCCTCTCCCAATTGAATAAAGCCCAACTGCTTAATTTAAAATAACCTTGGGAAGGCTTCTGGCCTCTTCCCCAATATCTTATTATCTTTCATTATTATCTTATCATTATCTTTCATTATTACAATACTAATAATTTGCTTTCCTCCTATTTTCATCCTTCCCACAAAGAAAATGTGCTTGGCCTCTGACCCATCTTCCACTCATTTAGATTTTAGTAAGAAATGGTAACTTAGGGAAGGGTAAAGGAAACAGCATGCAGACCTCCTCCATGCCTTTTGCTGGTTTACTATCCTGTCTAAACAGGAATTATCCCCATTAAGCCAGAGGCGACTTGGGGGGACAGTGTGAATGAGACGAGTGAGGGGCTTGGTGAGCTGGAATCCAGGCAGGCAACTCAGGGATAGGGAAACCATGAAACCCAAAGGCAGAGAAAAGACCTGGGCTGGGCAACAGGGTGAAAAATACAGAGTACAGAAAAAGCAGACTGGGGGAGTGCAGCAAAATTGAGAAATAAGTAAGAAATAAAACTACAGTCAAGATGAAAACCACAGCTTTAGGACAGAAAAATAGAGACGGGAAAAGAAAGACCATTTTATCAGAGAAATGGAGGAAGGGAGTCAATACCGAAAGCCAGGCACAGGACCAAAGGGAAGACATCTAGTCCAAAAGCTAGAATTGATGAGGATAATAGTAATTACAACTTGGAGAGGCAGAGGGAAGAACAACAGCAGGAAAGAAAATAAGAGGTGTCATTGAAAAAAACAATCATCAGAGATCTTGGTCACGGCTGTAAAGAGAAATGTATTCCGAGTAATTGTTTTCCGAGGGGGTTTCGGGAGGCTAGTGAGGGTCATCCTAATCTCTGCTGCTTCCCTTGTCGCCTTAGAGCAGTATGGAGGCGGACGTTTGCAAACAGGGCACATTAAGATGAGTTGAGACAATGCCCTTCCTCCCTTAGCCCCCTTAAAACGTCCTATTCAGCCAAATGGAGACCGTTTTATTTATGATCCAGTCTCCATTGAAACCCAAGCTGTTGGTTAATTGAACTTTTGGGATTTCGTTACAGGTTCTTAAATCCTAGGCGGCAGGTCTGGGACAGCCCATTTTACAAGTTGAGTCGACGTCTTTCTCTAGCATTTACCTCTGTAATTTTATTTTATTTTATTTGGAAGAAGTGCCGAGGGATAGGAGGTAATCCTCACCCATGCTCTGGGGACAAAACCCTGATTGGACCGAAGTCCGCACAACACACGCACAAGCGCGCACATACACTCACCCACACTCTGGGAAGAGGACAGGTAAGGTACTGGGGACCTCCCAACGGAACTCCTTGCATCTCTACTTACGTCGAGAAAGATCGACATGCCCTTGGAGAGCTGCAAGGCAGAGCTGAGCTCTTCGGAGGAGTTGTTGGAGGACGGCGACGTCTCCTGGGAATCCTCCATCCTTGCACGCCCTATGGGCCAGCGGCAGGAGCAGGGCGAGGAGGGCGCGCCGCCTCGGGCACGGGCGCGGCCGCAGCTCTGCTGGCAGCGCCGAGCCCCGCGCAGCCCAAGCTCGGATCCGAGTGGGTGTTCGCTCGCGCGCGCCTCCCTCCCGCGCGGGCTCAGACTCTCTCCCTCCCGTCCGCGCCGGCGCTGCCACCACTTTAACTCTCGCCTCCCCCTTTCCTTGCCTTACGGCTCCATATCCTCTCATCCTCGCACTTAGCAACGCCTTGCTCCATAAGCAGGGCAATGGGCTCTGCCCCGGGTGCGGCCATTGGCCACCGCGAGAAATGACCCTGGGGGCCTTTCCCACCTTCGGAGCGACGCCCCAGGTGCCGGGAAGGGAGGAGGTATCTCCGACAGAGAATACGGAAATAAATGGAAGGTGTTTGTCCCGAGCAACCAAAGCCAAATTTAGGACAACCCCCGCGCTCCATCCATCCAGGGTCGAAGCCCTCATTGGATCCAGAAGGATTCGAAGGGCTTTTGCTTTTCACAAATCCAAGCCCAGATTCTGCCCATCCTCCTTTAAGACAGTCTTAGGATGAGAGACTTGGATTGTAAATTTTTAAATGAGTGATGAGCGATCTTTTCGTCTAGGGCTTAAGCCATTCTGGTTTCAGAGTCTGCCAGACGTAGGTTTGAATCCCACCTTTCTTATTTTGTTGTTGTGTGAACTAGCAAGTTCATAGCTCTTTAAGCCTCAATTTTCCTCATAAGTAAAATGGTCACAATTATGGTACTTATTTCACAGCGTTCCAGAAGCTTCAGTGTGACAGTGCCACTGGCAAAGGTCTGGCACAGAGTAAACATCTGAAAGCCTTCGTTTTGGGGAAAGAATTGTTGGGTAATGTTTAAGAAGTCTTCCAAAGGTCAAAGTTACAATAAAGATGCAGTTCCTGACAATATTTAAGAACTTATGCTAGGAATTTAATAAAATAGGAGTCTCTAGGTACTTGAGAACTTCTGTGGGAGCATGGTCATTTGACCACACTTCTTATAGGAGAGATATGCACTGTTTATGGGGCATCTAAAAATGTGTAAGGCACTTGACAGTGGCTGTGTGGGTTACAAAGTTGGACAACCTGGGAGCAAGATGAGGCAGAGACAATAGCATTTGGTCCAAAGACATCTGCCTGTGACAAGGGCCTGTGTGCTCCCAGATCTCCATTTTGTAGTCTCATAAGAAAAAGAAACATGTTCTTTCTGTAAGAATCCACAACCAACCAGAATACAGCACAAACTATGAGCATCTGAAGACAGTTAAAAAGTGCTATGGGTTTCTTAGAAAGGAAAGTTTAAAGTGAAAGAGGTAATATGTTAAGTGGTTCTTAAAATGAATAAGTAAATACTCCACATTGTTGTTAGCTGCTGTGGAGTGTTCCCTCTGTGCCACTTCCATACACACACTCATGATGACCCCATGCACAATGGAACTAGATGATGTCTAGGCCTGTGCCATGCCCATCATTGGTTTCAGATCAGACCACTGTGATCCATAGGATTTCATTAGCTGATTTTCAGAAGTGTATCACCAGAGATCTGTCTAGACAGTCCATAGCTGATAGAAACAGACAGGAAAAAAAAAAAAAAAAAAATCCAGGCAGAAGGAAAAGCTTGAGCAAAGGTACAGCAGCAAGAACACACAAGGAATCTGTACTTAGTCTTCTGTCTTCTGGGAATCTCCAGAAACATGCAGAATCCTGGTCTCCACCCCAAGCTTAGTGAATCAGAATATCACAGAGTAAAGCCCAAGTGTCTGAGCCCCCCATATGATTCATACACAGCCACTCTGGAGGTGGGTTGGGAATGAAGTCAGGGAAGTGAGGTGCTGAGGGCACAAAATCCTAAGAGACATTCATTTTCAGTATCCACCCTGCACTTGCAGGACCCTCCATACATTTTGCATCTTCATTCACCTCACTCAAGTCCTCGCCCTGCTCTACAGATTAGTGTTTTGAAAGAGATGAACAACACAGTTGTTCTTAACTCTGGCTGTACATTACAATCATCTAGGGCAGACAGTAATTTTTAAAGGTGGCCACAAATTCATTGACCTCTATAAAAATGTGGGTCTCCTTTTCTTGAATCTTTGGGCTTGTGACTTCTTCAACCAATAAAACATAGCAGAAGTGATCTATGTGCCTTCTGAATCCAGATGAATAAAAGGACTTACACTTTCACCTTTTTCAATGAAATTGTTGCTCCTCTAGTCCTGCGCCTCCATATAGGAAATCTGACTACTTTCAGCCACCATGCTTCAAGAAAGCCCAAGCTACAGGGAGAGCTATAGGTAGGCACCCGTTCTGATAGTCCCTACTGAGTTCATCCTTTGCATCATCACAGCCTCAGCAGCAGACATGTGATAATGAGACCTCCAGCTGTGTGAGACATCCCTAGCCATTTGAGTTGTCCCAGCTGAGTCTGTAGACATCATAGCACAGAGACATGCCATCAAGGCTGTGAATTGAGAAGATAATAAAATGGTTGCTGTTTCACACAAATATATTTTGTAGCAATTGACAACTAAAATAGCTTAGAAACAAACAAAAACTGATGCCTGGGCTTCATCCCCGGGTTTATATTCACTTAGCATTGGGAGAGCCCTGGGCATCAGTATGCTGTTTTCGTTTAAAAAGGTTCCAGGTGATTCTGAAGTGCAGCCAGGATTAAGAACCATGAACTTGACTGTACTGTACATACAAGGAAAAAGTAGAATGAAATATAAGTACATAGGGCTTCATAGGTTGATGAACTCTAGGGTTAGAACTCTGGACTCATGTAGGGAGTTAAAGAGGCATTTGATTGCATCAGGAAGTTATTGATTGGAGCTGTAGTTTAGAAAGATTATTCTGGCAGCTTTGTGTCCTTTTACTGTATTAACTGTAAATAGTGTTATCTGAAATGAAGGAATAGCCCCTTCCCTTTAATGGTTCATTAAGAAAAAACAAAAATAATAATAAACAGACTGGCCAAATCTCCAAAGGATACTGAATATTCAAATCTCTAAGATAAACCACATGAAAAGGAGGAGGAGGGGTATTAACTATGTCAAACTTAGGAAGTTTCCAAAAATAAAATATTATTTGGACGGAAGATTGAATAGGTTTTTCTGCAACAAGTATGTGGTTTAAGTCTGGTCCTTCTAACCCAAGCTATGTGGTTTCCTTATTCCTTAAATTCAGTCTTGCAAGAAGTAATATTTTTTATGCCAATTCCATGGTAACAGGAGCAGGTGATGAAGAAGACTTTCTCTGATTGAAAATGAAGAACAGGAAAATAATTAGTAGTCATCATTCAAAATCAGTGAGCTGTTTGTAATGCTTCAGTAAAAATGATCCTTTCACCTTTGACGACTACAAATGATTTTTTTGGTACTTGTAGCTTGGCTTAGTCCCCATAATGGCCTGGCAAGAAGAAAAAAAAAATTAAACAACCAACTGGTCATTATTATTGATATTATTTTTTTTTTTACTTCTGTATGGGAGCTCTGGTGGCATAGTGCCTAACTATGCCTGACTGCTAACTAGAAGGCTGGTGATTCAAATCCACCAGCCACTCTTCAGAAGGAAGATTGGGCAATCTACTTCTGTAGTGATACAGCCTCAGAAACCCAAGGAGGGGTCACTATGAGTCAGATCCGACTTAAGGAGAATGAGTTTGGTTTTTTTGGTTTGGTATGTAAACCATAATGTTGTAGCTGATTTCTCTTTTTGATGGAAATGCACTGGTAGTGGAAAGACCAGCAGAAATGGGCAGCAATTAGATCTTCATTCACAGCCAAACTCAATAGATTCTACAAAGTGGTAACTAGACACTTATTTAGTTTTCTTCTTATGTAGATAGTGTGCATTTTTGAAAGCTGTTTTCACACATTATTTTCCTGAAACATAGATGCCACCCTGCTCTACCTAATATCAGTCACAAACATGAGACAGCAGACTAGAGGGAGGAAATATATCTTCTCACCAACGTCTGTGCTGCAAGAGCCTAAAAAGAAAAAGAAAGAAAGAAATGTAATTCTAGACTCCAGCTATCAGGCTTCCTAAGATAAGACTTTGATATAAAGGTATTTCTAGCATTTCAGGAGATGATAGCACTGTAGGAATGTATTGCATTTCAATTCATCTCTACCTCGTGGAAGAACTATTATCTAAACCATTTCAGACAGCCAGGAATCTATCTTATTTATATTTTCAAAATTCTAGGGAAAGCGGTTCTTTAGATAAAAGACTCAGAATCCTTTTAGTCAATGTAGTAGACATTTTCATTACTACCCAGGGTCCAAGCGCTCTTCCTTATCTAAGGGCATGTCTCCATGGTGTGAGTCCGAATTAGGGGCAAGACCCATCTGAAAGGGAAAAGATAATCTCTCTCCCTGTCTCCTGGTGGCAGAAACACAGACAGTGATCCAGCCCAGACAATTAAAAAAAAGAAAAGAAAAGAAAAGAAAACTACTGCAAACCCATTGACATCATGTCTATTCCAACTCATAGCGACCCTATGTGACAGCAGAACTGCATGGGAAGCAGACTGTCAGAACTTTCTCCCACGAAGTGGCAGGTGGATTTGAACCTCTGCCAAATTTTTGGTTATGAGCCTAGCACGTAAGTACTGCGACAGCCACTCCACAGGAGAGAGATGTCACAGTCTGCTCCTGGAAAGAGTTAAAGCTTCGAAACCCAATGGGGCAGTTCTACTTTGTCCTATAGGATCACTATTAGCTGCAATCAACTGGATGGCAACAAGCTCAGACAATAGGATGCTCCATTTGGAACTTTAATACTGCATCAAGAGACACAAAAGAAAAGAAACACTTAGAGTTCAGTAAGAGCAGTGGGCAAAGGCAATATAGTGTCCAGTAGCTGAAAAGCCAGTAGAGCCACTGGCACTTTGCCACTGGAAGCAGCTTCACCAGTTTGGTAAGTGACCCACAGCTGCGATTTCTGCAGCTCCATCTTCCAAGCTTGATCTTCAGTTTGGACTTCCTGAGCAACCCAGTATCCTTCCAATAACTTCTCTGTTTTACGTTAGTCAGAGTTGGCTTT